TAACAGTTCCCACTGGCAGCAGATGTTTGCATGAGCTGAAGCGCTATGAAGAGGAAGTTCTTGCGGTCAGCAACTGGTGTAACTCACCTGCAGATCTCATAACTTTGTTAGCATCATTTTAGTTTCCGTGTCAGAACATGTTTGTCTGACAATGCAAGCGCATTCTTTATAATACATCAATAAAATCTATAAAAAGTTCTGAGACAAAGCTGCATAACAAGCTGCTACTTTACAGTTATTACTGCATCACAAAGTGAAAGTATAGTTTAGTCATATACAGTAAATAGGTGTGGTTTTCTTTAACTGTCAGTGTACTTGCAGAAGCCTGTAGTGTAAAGATCACTATGATGACTGATTTGTTACTGAGTGTGTTGGGCTGTAACTACAGCAACATACACAGTATGTTTTAGACATACAATTATCTGTTTAACAGAGTAAGTGATGTGCTATACTTACTAACATCTCTAATTGTTAAACTTGTTGTGCTTTTTATAAAAACTAAAACAAAACCTGCAAACACCACAAACACTTTCTCTAACAAAGATTCAGCTCGGCTGCTACAGGGTCATACAAAGGAAATTTTCAATAACTCAAACAGTAACTCAACACATCTGCCCAACAGAGACAAATCTAATGTTAACAGTTTTATATAGTTGTTGTGTTTTCAAAGTCTGGACTGTCAGGATGCCAAACACCCACTAACACACTGCACTGCACCGTCCACTGATACACTGGGCCACTTTAACATAATCTGGTGTTTGCTTTGCTGTTTTTATGATGAGCTGCTGAATTTGAGGTATTGTAATAAAATTATGGTTACTTAATATTGTTATATACTTGAAAATGCTATAGTATTAGTTTTTATATCAAATTAGTTTTTACACTCTGACCCCCCCCCCCACACACACACACACAGTATTCTTTGTTCACATGAATACCTATGTAAGATGTTATATGTTGATGACCCTATGCATATTCATGTAACCACAATAAAAGGAGTGCTATGGGGAACCTGGCTGAGAGTCTGACGGAGGTCAAGTGGTGGAACGACACTTGACTCCAGGCAGGTCCCCCTCATCCATGAGTAACACGAAGTACTTCGCCTACAAGGTGTTCAATGCTTTTGCTGTGTAATTATATTGTCATCAACGTTCCAGCGAATAGGTTCAAGCTACAAACCTATCAACAAGTGTTTACTTCTTATCATCTCTTTATTCATTCTTTCTAAAATCTGATGGAAATATTTGTTCTTATGCAATACATATAAAAGTATGCAAAATTATATAATAAATTGTACAACAACTACCCTTTAACTTTGTTATAACTTGAAAGAAAGTTCGTATATGTGACTAATGTTCCTGGTTTAAACACTAAAGGCATAAAATCATCCATTTAAGTTAAATGCTGATTATCTGAAATAAAACACAAAGTTGTTCCACTTCACTTTATACAATAATAACAGACTACATTAACCATATTTTATGAATTAAGATCATATGTTTGCTTACCTATTGATTTGTCCGCACACAGATGACTAAAGTGAAAGTAAAGATTCTTGAGTGGCTAAAAAGGGAGGTGGGTGGGAAACATGTGTTTCAGGAAGTGGTGCAGGTGTTCTTTAGCTTGCAGAAGAGCTTCCAGTCAAACTGCATTGCTGGTATGGTATACAAACAATTTGCCACTTTTTTCTTTGTTGAATGGAAATTATCCAAAATAACTTTTCAGTATGAAGTGACTAAAAATGTAAAGCAAGTACCTAAAATCTGAACATGATATGAATCATATAATTCTGTAGCTTCTTCTATCATGTGCTTTGGTACATGACCACAAATCTTTGAATCTTTGAGCACCATATCAGATCTATCACCAAATCTGCATATTTCACCTCTTCAGTATCTCAACTGTCATCAGTGAATTTGTCATGTCCTTTATTACTCTAATGAAATCACACCCTGGATTCTAGTAAAGTGCTGCTGCCAAGATTCCCACACACATGAAATCCTGCAATCAGCCTCTGACTCCCAGTA